CAGCCCTAAAGCTGTCAGATAGCCAAGGATCTAAAGGGAGGGAAGAAAGAGAGCACACCCTGTCCAATGCCCTCACGTTCAAGGCAGTTTCGCAGCTGTGTGAGCAAAAAAGCGCTTATTAACTGGGGGCATGGCTGAACAAGACATGGCTTATGCCTGTGAGGGGACGCTAATGCGCCGGGAGGAGCCACAGAGGGGAAGGTTCCAGAGAAACCTGGGAAGACGTGTCTGAGCGGATGCAAAGTGAAGTGAGCAGAAGACGCCGTAAAGACTGAATACACAGCAGAAAACAAGGCCCCCCGACTCTGATCAAGAAAGAGACCAGCCAGAGTTTCTAAAAACTGAAGCCCACCTTGCAACACAGAGGCGACAGCCTTGGGGCACAGGCCCAGGCACCCAGAGACAATGGGGGCTTGCGTCCTGTCCGCCTGCACGCTTCCTGCACAAGTCTTTTCTTCTTTCACTTCACCCCCCACCCCCACCTGCCTCAAGGGCCCACGGGAAAGGAAGAGTCAGCACCCGAACCCAGGTCCTCAATCCCAAATCCAACATTTTTTCCACGCACTACACGCGTGCTCCTATCTCTTTCGGAGACAAATCTGGTGATCGTGCTGGTTGGCAGCAACTAGCTTTTAACGTTCTGCTGTTGTTCTTTCAATTTACACTGCTGTAGTCAGTGGGTACGTGGTTTTCCTGGTTCTGTTTTCTTTACTTTGCATCAGTTCATCTAAGTCTTCATGCTACTCTGTATTCATTATAGTTCCTTGCAACACAGTAACGTCCCCTTTTACACATACTACAACTCTGTCATTCTCTAATTACCAGGCATCTTCTTTGTTTCCAATATTTGCTACTACAAAAAGTACTATGATAAATATCTTGGTATATTTGAGACCCTTCTTTCTGTATGCCTAGAATAAATATGGACTAATGTACATAGACATATTAGTCACTTTCTTAGCATTAATTCCAAATTGCTTCTCACAATTGTTGGACCAATTCGCAGCTCCACCAACAATTGTATGAGTGTGGCTATTTTTTCACAGCCTCTCCAACCCTGGCTATTCCCATTGCGTGTCACCTCTGCTAACTTACCAGGAGTGAAATGTGTGAAATCTCAGACCTCAATGTGCTTTTCACAAAATGGTGGAAGGAATGCAGGGTCAGCTCCTGAGGCACTGCTCTGTCTGCCAGCACCCCGTACTCAGGATCTAGTAACTCCCCCAGGATTCTGTAAGATAAGGTTCACGCTGACCACAATTCCATTCAATTCCGCAAACGTGATCAAATGCCCGCTGCATACAAGGTCTCACCAAAGTCCACCAAAGCCAGTCCGGTCCAATCAAACTGACATTTGTTAAAGGTCCCCTCGCTGTGTGCCATGAAGCGTGCTAGATGCTGGGGATCTGAGCCACCCTGCCCTGAAGGAGCTGACACTCTAGACAGGTCACACCAAACTCAACAGCTGGGCAGGGGACGGGCTGAGGAGCGTCCCAGTCACCAGGGCCCCAGGGCAACACCGTCCACCAACAAAAAGGCCCTGGCCTAGACGCTAGGGACTCAAAAATAAGAAAAAGGCGGAGGAAGAAAACAACACAGCGCCCGCCCTCAGGGTCTTACGTTCAGTTCTCCCCAAGTGCCTAGAAAGGCTCACATCCTAAAAGAAGGGGACAAGCCATCCCACATCCTCTCCTGCCCAGTCTCCCTACGTGACTGACAGCCTGCACTGGAGGATGTCGGGCTGGGGACAGGAGGAACACGGCCGGGGGACAAAGAGATGCTCTCTGGCCCAGATGGGTCCTGAAGTCCTAACGCCACGGCCGTGGCTGGGAGCTGATCCTGACCTGGTGCACCAGGCACATCATTCCTGCTACCAGTAGCTTCGCTGCTCCTTCCAGGATCCTGCTGACCTTGGGCAACTGTGCCAACCATCAGGACAACCAACCCTGATGCCACCCCCACTCTGCTGCCTCAGCAAGGCCCTGGCACGGTCCCAGGATGGGGGGGGCCAAGCCCTCATTTGACTGTCAGATCAAGGCCTGGCAGGGCAGCAGGCAGGCCCGGCTGGCTAATGTCACCCATTCAGCCTTGGCCAGCTGCAGTCAACAGCCCTCCCGGGGCTGGCTCTGTGCCCAGGCAGTGCCCCATTCCTTGAGAATCAAGGTCATAGCTGTTCCAGGGGCACAGCACTCAGCCTGCTCAAGTCTCTTTGTCTCACGGAGGAAGGGGGGCAACCCCCAACCCCAGAAAGGCACCAGGGCCTCAAGGTGGGGAGACAGGACGTCGGGATAAAGACACAAAGCAGAAACACAGCTCATCTGCCAAACACAACAGGCTCTGACCAAACTCCAGAAAGGAAAGCATCCCAAGTGCCCAGAGAGACACAAAGTACTGGTTCTGACTGGCAGCCCTGCCACACAGAGACCCCGGGGCGGTCTCCCTGCCTGACCCCCAACCAGACGCGATCTCTCCTGCCTCCCCGTGGGATCACAGACCCGAAGCCTGAAGTGACCGAAGGGGCCACCAAGTGCAACCCCCTCATCTTACAGAGGAGGAAACTGAGGACCAGGGCTGCGAAAGCAACTTGGCCAGCACAGCCTGGGCCAGCACAGAACAAGGATTAGCACTCGGGTCTTCCATCTCTACCTCCAACAACACTCATCCCACTGAGCCATGCGCTCTCCTTTTTTTTTTTTCTTTTGGCTAGGCAATGGGGTTAAGTGACTTGCCCAGGGTCACACAGCTAGTGAGTGCTACGTCTCCAAGTCTGGATTTGAACTCAGGTCCTCCTGACTCCAAAATGCAGGGTTTCCCCCAATGCTTCCAGGGAAGGGACTTCTTAACCTTTCTTGTGTCCAGGACCCCCCTTGGCAGGCTGGTGAGGAGGCCAATGGAAGGAGCCCATCTTAGAACCAGGGGTGTAAGCGCATAAGATGAAAGGCAGAGGTTCAGAGAGGAATCCAATCATACTGAAATATCATCACCCAAGTGTTTTTAAAACACGCCCACGGGCCCCGGATAAGGAGCCCCTCCTCACCAGGGAGGACAGCCGGCTGTCCCCCACACCGCCATATGCTCTGTCTCTCTGTCCTTCAGCCAAGTACAGGAGCCCTCTCCAGGCAGCCATCCCGGTGTGGTGCCGCCCGAGCCAAACTGACACCAGATGAAGGCCCAGGGCTGACCCTCTGCCCCTCAGCCCTCTCAAGCCTCCCCCGGGCTCTGCTCCTGGGCCGGCATCCCCCTCACCCCGAGGGCCAGGGGCCCGAGTGAGGACGGGGAGCGATGGCAGGAGACGCCAGGCGAGCTCCCCGACTCTCCCAGGATTGGCACTCACGGGGCTAATGACCAAAAGGGGAGGCAGCCCGGCACATCCGCTCCTTCAACCCTGGCAAACATCAATGAGGGAAGAGCCAGCACCAGAGAGGATCCCCAAGCTCTCACTGACTGGGGCGCGGGAGGGGGGCGGGGCACCGCACACCTGGGAGGTGGACAAACAGAAGGGGGTGACCGCAGCAGACCACCCCGGGGGCGCCTGACATTCACGAAGGGCTGTGTCCTTTCCCCAGGCCTCCTGCCCGCCTCAGCCTGGTACCGTGAGAGGCAGTGGTGGAGGCACGACACATCCCCTCTCTAAGCCTCAGTTCCCCCTTCTGTAAAAGGGCCCTTGGGGTTACTGGGGAAATAAAATGAGAAGATGCAAGTAAAATCCCCCTCCTTCAAACCGCCTTCCACGTAAACACAGCTAGTGCCATCCCTTCCCCAAAGACGCTGTTTGTTCCATATATACATTTATTCTATGTAATAATAACAATAATACTGATGGAAATAACAACTAGTAGTAGCTTGCAAAGTGCTTTACAAACATCATTGCACTGTTAATCTCACAACTGCCCTAGGACGTAGGTACTGTTATTATCCCCATTTTATAGATGAGGAAACTGAGGCCCAGCCAGATTACATTGACTTGCCCAGTTAGTACGTGTCTGAGATAGAATTTGAACTCCTCTTCCTATCTCCAAGGCCTAAGCACTCTACGGACCGCACCAGCTGTGCCTAACACGGGCGGAGGGCTTCCCTCCCAGAGTACAGACCCACCCACATCCACACACACAAGCTCGGCTTCCCTTCACAGAATGTAAGCTCAGCAGCTCAGACTATTTACTGTCCTGGCTCTTCCCCTCCTGCTCTTAGCTTGGTGCCAGGCACACGGGAGGCTTAGTCTAATAAGCACGTGCTGATGACTGATGGATTTGCTCGGCTCACAGCTCCACATAAATGTCACCTGTAATTATTGCTATACGGTCAATGCTCTGCCCAAGCCACTGATGAGAATTTGTCCGAGAAGAGCATTATTGCTTTTCTTTTCTGCCTAGAAGCTACGCACATATATTTAAGCATATATACATACATAAACACATTTATATACATACAAACATGTACATATATACGTATAGATTTTTTTTAAAAAAACTTGTCTTCCCACCTAATTCCACACAAGCAGAGACTGGGTTTTCCTTTTTATTTTTTTCCAGAATTCAATTATCAAAAGAATTTATTGAGTACCTACTGTGTGCTGAGCAACCTTGTGCTTAAGAAGTTTGTATTAGTAGGTGCTAAATAAATGCTTGTTTAAGGGATGGATGGATGGATGGACAGATGGGTGGGCAGATGGACAAATAGTTGGATGCGTGAATGGAAGCACAGATCAAGAGAAGGATGAGTGGAGGGATGGAAAGCTGATGGATGGACATTAGGTCGACAAACGGATCAAAGGACAGACTTCTGAGTGGACAGATGGACAGCAGGACAAATGGAAGGATGGAAGGTCAGATGAAATGACGGACAGATGAAAACACCAGGGCCCACAGGTGGGAAGCAGACATCCCGCTGAGAATCCAAGGAAGAGACCGCACAGGCTGCCGGGGAGAGCAGGCCAGCAGGCCAGCAGCGGCGGGAGGGAGCGGCGGCCAGGGATGGGGTGGGGAGGGGTCTTCTCTTACCTTGGAGACGTCTTCAGTGCCCCCGTGCTGGGCCAGCATAGGTGAGGGCCGAAGCAGCGGCTCCGGCAACAGCTCCAGCCGAGGCCGCTTCGTCTCAATGAATTCAATTTCAGATTTGCTCAGGTCAGGCAGGTAAGAATGGGACTCTGGCCGCAGGTGTAACTCCTGGGACCTGGGTGGAGAAAGGACACGAGGAAGGTCAATTCTTTTTCAATTTCCCCGTAGCTCCTCTGTTACCTGCAGAAGCGGGGGACCAGGGGCCAGAAGGCTGCTTAATTATGCGGGGCAGCTTTGGGGGGGATGGGGCGAGAGGGGGTGGAGAAGGAGTATACTGTGAAATGGAGCGAACGTGAAAACAAACACACCAATGAAGACATTTTTTTAACTGCCTCTTCCTGACCAGGCTCACAAGGCTCTCAGAAGCCAGGGTCTGAGGCCCCCAGAATACCCAAATGACCACATGAAAGTAAAGAGGATCTGTCTCTCAGCCGGCCAGAGACCCTGAAAGGCCCCTGCCTCAACCAGACCAGCGCCTCTGGCTCAGGAGCAGGAGGAAGATGTGGGGAGTGAGAATGGGTCTGAGTGGAAGGCCAGGTCTCCCACTGACCACCGCTGCGAGCCCGGCTACATTTATCATTATCTCTATCTTACAGAAGAGGGAACTGAGGCACGCAGAGTTGGAGTGACTTGGCCAGGGTCATACAGCTAGGACGTGTCTAAGACATGACTCAAATTCTCTCCTGACTCCAAGACACTTCACGAAATCACTCAAAATGCCTTCTCTATTTCCTTCTGCATGCCCCTTCCCCAACACACATGCACGCACGCACAGAGCTGGCACTTGGAAACTTGCTCGATCAACACCTTGAAAAGGCCTATGATCGCCTCGTCTGATAACCCCTAGGACAGCTCCGTGAGAGAGCACCAGGACAGCTCCGTGAGAGAGCACCAGGAATAACATCCCTACTTTACAGATGAGGAAACTGAGGCAAAGAGTCAGTAAACAGGTCCCCAAAGGAGCACAGCCCCGACCAGACCCCTGGGCTCTCCTACCCTAGCCTCCCAGGCACATCAAAACTTAGACCGCCCCCCCCTCACGGGCTGTCTCCCAACCTGAATGTGAGCTTCGGCTCACATCAAAACTAACAAAAGGTGGAAAGTCCCCCCAGGTCCCCATGTTCCCCGAGTCTGCTCCACTCTCCTAGTGACCAGAGCCTGCAATCAGTGCAGGGGAGGGGGATACCGTGGAGAGGGCTAGCTTTAACATGATAATCACGTTAACAACCACAACAACAATAATAATAATGGCTAACATTTCCACAGCACTTTAAAGCCTGCAAAGCGCTTTACAAATATGCCTCTTTCCAATGAGAGGATCTGGGTTCCATCCTGGCTCAGCGCCCCAGAACGAGATCCCTGAGCCTATCAAACGAGGGAGCTGGACAACATGGCCCCTCTGCCCGTGCCGAACAAAGACCGAGGTCCCTCTGATCCCATCAATTCCCCCATTTCATACAAGAGGAACCTGGAGAAGTTACCCAGTGTCAGAGCACAGCCGGGGGCTGCCAGATCCGGGCCTTGTGACGGCTCTAGGCTGTACCAGGTCCCAGGAGCCCGGGACTCGAGCGGCGCCCCCATCCCCTCGAGAAGTCCTGGCTAAGCCTGGGAAGGCCCACTCACCCTAGATCCAAAACAAGGGACCAAGGCCCAGCCGTCACCCTCGGGGCACCGAGGTTAACTCAAAAATCCAGCAGGTATCCCCAGCGGAGGCTAACGCCCAGGTAGCTTCTGCCCACCCTCCACCTCCATCATTACCTTTCGGTCTAGAGAGGCATCATAAGAAACACTTTGGGAGGTGTTGTGGGGGGAGTGGAAGTCAGAGGACCTGGGTTCAAATCCTTAGGCAAGTCCCTCTGCCTTTCTGAGCCTCAGTTTCTTCATCTGTGAAATGAGGAAGAGCTCAGCGAGCCCTTCTAGAGCTAAGACCCAATAACCCCCGTCACCCACTTCCTAAGCTTTACACTTGCTAATAAGAGAGATGACTACCTCCCCACAACCCAGATTTCATATCTACTCATAAAGATGCACGCCTCCATCCCAAGGTTTACACCCACAAAAACAGATGCAGGCTGGGTTGTCCCAGGAAATTACAAAGCACCTTAAATGCCCCCAGACTTCTACCAGAAAGGAACAAGGGCCCAGCCTCTAAATCCCAACATGCTACTGGTGGTGTTACGCACGCACGCATGCATGCATGCACACAGACATACATGCATAGAGGGCTGAGCACAGCCCCTCCCTCATTCGGTAATCTCCAGCGGCTCCCGACTCCCTCTAGGATCAAACAGAGACTCCTTTGTCCGGCATTTGAGGCAGCAAGGCAGGGAAAGCAGTGGACAGAGAGCCAGGCCTAGAGTCAGGAAGCTCTGAGTTCCAATATGACCTCAGATACTAACTAGTTGTGTGACCCTGGGCAAGTCACTGAACCCCTCAAAGCCTCAGTATCCTCATCTGTAAAATGGAGACAATAACAGTGCCAACCTCTCAGAGTTGTTGTGAAGATTGAATGAGATAAGATTTGCAAAGCACTTAGCACAGCATAGTGGCACATAATAGGTGCTATCTAAAAATTATTATCATTACTGAGAATCTTTCACAATCTGGCTCCCAACCTATCTTTTCAGCCTTATTATACGTCACGCCATTCCTATACTCTCCCATCCCATCAAACTGGCCTTTTCTCTGTTCTGTACATGTGTTATTCACTCCATTTCCATTTTCTCCATGCCTGGCCATCCCCCTGCCTGGAATGCCATCCCTCCTTGCCTCTATCTCATTAGACTGTGAGCTTCTTGAGGGCAGAGCTGCCTTTTACCTTTCAGTGTATCCCCAGCACTTAGCACAGTGTCTGGCATACATAGGTGCTTAATAAATGCTTACCAACTGACCTCAGAGTATGTCTCACTTCCTTCAAGATGCAGCTCAAACATCCCCTTCTACATGAAACATTTCCTGATCTTCTCAACCGCTAATGCCTTGTCTCCCCCTCCTGTGTGTGTGTGTGTATGTGTGTGTGAGATCTATGAAACTGTTTATTTTTTAACTCACAAGCCCTTCCACAGAGCCTGACACATAGTAGGCACTTTATAACCATTTGCTAAATGACTATGTGCTCTAATACTAAATAATTAAAAATAATTATTGTGCGTAAGGCAAGGCCAGACACACAAGCAATTCTGAACAAGAACAGGACGCAGGATTTCACCCGGGACGCATACAATAGAGGGTGATATGGAGTGGATGAGAGCGAGGAAGGTGCTCCTCGTGGTGAACCTAGTTGTGGGGGTACAGATTAGAGAAGAAGGGAGGGAGGAAAAGAAGGAGGGAGGAAGAGGAAGGAGCATTTATTAAGCCCTTACTGTGTGCCTGCACAAGCACTGAAGAGATAAAGAGAAGAATGAGAAGTGTGTGTTCCCAAGGAGCCTCCGCTCCGCTAAGGGGAGACCTCCCCTAAAACAAGGGCCCCTCGGCTTCAGGGTAACTGAAAAGGTGCCCAAGTGCAGAGGGGCACAGTCCGCACCGGAACCTGCGAGGCAAGGGGGCAGGGCAGAAGGCAGGGCTGGTGGCCCCCATCCAGCATGAGGAAGCCTGGAGGAGGTGGAAGGCGAGGAGGATTGTGGGGTGGCTCTGCCGTAGCCCAGCTACCCAACGTGGGTCCGACCCCTTCATTTATAGGTGAGCAAGCTGAGGCCCCAAGATGCCCGAGGTCACCCCGGTTATAAGCGAAAGAAGTGGGGTTTGAATCCAGGTCTTCTGACGGCATGGTCGGTGCTCTTTCCAATAGCGGACACGGGCAAGAAACTCCCGAGGGGCAGCGACAGACACGTGACCGACGTGGACATCCAAATCAATGACATCACGGATTCACTGGAGTATTGTCAGAAACAATTTCAGAGCAAAGATGCTCCCCGATCTCCCGAGCTTTCTGTCTGCTAATGGAGACGCTCCCCTCCTTCCTGACCTTTCTATCTGCTAACGGAGATGCTCCCCTCCCTCCCGAGTTTTCTATCTGCTAACCGAGATACTCCCCAACCTCCTGAGCTTTCTATCTGCTAGTGTAGATGCTCTCCTCCCTCCCGAGCTTTCTATCTGCTAATGTAGATGCTCCCCATCTTCTAAGCTTTATACCTGCTAATGTAGATGCACCTCGATCTTCCAAGTTTTATACCTATTAACATAGATGTACTCCTAACTCCTGAGTTTTACATCTGCTAATATAGTTGGACCCCTAGCCCCCAGGCTTTATATCTGCAAATATAGACACACCCTCAACATTCTAAGCTTTACATCTGTTAATATAGATGCATCCTTACCTCCCAAGTTGTGCACCTACTAAAAGAGAATTTGATTAATTACACTTGTAAATTGTTTCATGCTGATCCAGTAGGTTCCTTTCATACCCTCCCCACCCCCATCCAACAAATAAAAAAACTCTCTTAGGAGACAGGGTGGGTATAAAATCCCTATAAATAGTCCTCAAAAGAGCTTTTATACTTCTCAGAAATGGTGGCAAAAGGCCAGGAGAGCTGGGTTATAGTCGCACCCTGCTAAGCCCCTTACTACTCGTGTGACCTTGGGCAAGTCATTCCTCCTCTGGGGCTCATCTGTAAATTAAGGGAATTGGACCAGATCATCTCTTCCAGCTCCCAAAAGTCTAGGATTGGAAGACCTTGTTTTTCCCAGTCTAGAAGAGGCAGAGAATAAGCCCCACAAGCTGATGGAACAGCAGCCTCAACACCTCACTTATCTGCCTGCTTTGGATAAAGGTACAGCTCTGCCTGGGGCCAGGGGCTCTGCCTGGGGGCCAGGGGCTCTGCCTGGCAATTCCTCTCCTCCCTCCTCCCCTCCCCCATCCCACTTTCCCCTCAGCATCTCCTTGCACCAATCCATCCTGCCACTGCCTCTCAAAGCATCTCGTGCTCAGTTTCCCAGCTAAGTACGGGCTCGGGGCCTTCTGGGAACAGGCCCAGGAATGGTAGGGGTAGCAGTTCACCTGAAGCAAGCTAGGGAGACGCTGTGGGAGTCTCCCAAACAACCCTGAACTGGGGGTCAGAAGGCTGAAGTTCAAACCCCGTCTTAACCACACAGTAGCCATGTGACCTTGGGCAAGAC